GCCGCTGTTGAGGGGCACTTTTTTCATGTCCGCTATGAACAAACATGACTATGCATTGTATACGCCCGTTTTTATTACCTTCGTCAAGAAGGTAATATTTTCGGAGGCGTCCGTGTGTGTGTGTATTTGTGTCTCTGTCTGTCTATTTGTCTGCAAACACGATAACTCGAGAAGGTTTATATGGATTCTCTTTATAATTTGGTATGTGAGTATAACTTAGTAGAAACGTATATCCTAATTCTCAGATTATTACAATAGCCCGTCGCGCGAGGCATGGTGAAAACACCCCTAGAACGCATAAAATGTATAACCGGGTCAAAACGAAACACCGCACTGAAGGCGGAAGGACAATAAGCCTGGTTGAGAGTTCACCAAATTGTCTGAACTGTAAAACCCAAGATAGCGTTACCCGGTATGATTCGTTTTCATGTTTCTGATCTTCTTTAGTAAAAGTGGAAGACTTCTCATGCCCTAAGCTCAGCCTACGTCATGCCTTTGTGTGTTACATCGAAGGGCGGGGAAACCGGCAGAGCAATTTACAGACTAATACAGAAATCGACAAACAACTTGTCGAGGACGTGTTTTCGCTCTGCAGAAACCTATCGTGGCACCATGTCTGGAGGGAGGCGGCAGTCCCGTACTGGTGACACATACGGTTAGTAGCCTGTTTTTTTACAGCTTGGCCCTGTTTTTTAACCCTAGAAACAACCTTATAACGGTGTATATATCTGTATGTGAATATTTTCCTTTTTCTGTCCCCTTTTTTAAGGTGCACATGGTAAGAAACAGTTTGTATCATTTTCGAGCAAGGCAAATAGTATAAATTCTCTGAAAACCCTAAAATCGGTGACAAACGAAAAGTTGTTGTACATATAGCTGTTGTAGCTGTAAGAAGTCATGTTCACGTGGCTCAAATTTTATTATGATAAAAACCTGCATCGTTGTTTACGGAGTGTCATAACATTTGCAGGAAAAGATCATACGAATACAGTCTAAGATTTTTTTTCACATTTCTAACTTATTTTGATATTTCTGATATTGTTTTCTCCAGGCGCCATGAATATGCGGGAGTCTCAGACTGATTGGACCCACATCGCCGATAAAGCTGCGACGACAACCAACCCCCTTTACGGTTCTAGATCAGGTGAGTCCTATTTAGAGCTATCATAAAAGTTCATCTGTGTTGGTTGTTACCTTTTTTAAAGTTAAAACTTTAGACTCAAAACAATCTTTCACCTAGAGCTTTCGACCAGTCAATCTGGTCTTTCTTAGTAGACTGACCCTGTGAGGCTTTTTTTGTGTAAAGTCAACACAAGGTCAAAGGTATCTGGTAGATGATGTTGGCCCCCGTCACGGTTGAGTAAAGGTGATGGGCCCTAATGTAAATAGCCCCTTTAACCCACTCATTTCAGTGCTGTTTTGTTGGTCATCCTAGGCATCCAACGCAAAGTGCGGGTAATTGGACTGGATTTTTTAAAGTCATTTGAAGCCATTCTTTGTTTGTGATTTATTTCACGTCGAATATATACGGCTCTATTCGGTCAACAGATGTCTGGTCAGAAGCAGTTAATCTGGCGCTCCTGATGGCTATTTCTCTCTAGAAGGGGAACATTCGGCACATGTAGGGCGGTATTAACCTCCAAGCAGATAATTTGGTGGCTGGAAAGACAGTATCAAATTGGCCAGGCAGTATCCATTTGCCAGACAGTTACCATTTGGGAGATTATGGCGGTAAGCGGTTGTTTAAGGCCTTATGTGCCAGTAGGGTTTATGGAGCTTGTGTGAGGACTTAACAACATCTTTTCATTTTAGACGTGAACTTGAGCTGATGGAGTTAGATATGGGGAACGAATGCAGAACCAGCTTGCCAGTTCGGTTTTGCATCTTTTGACGTTTTTCTCACTAGTTCCCGATCAGACGCATATCTATAGTCCCAGACAGAACATGAGGTCGATGACTTCATATACCTTCGTCATGCATGGGCTTGAGTTATGAGAAATGTGCTGCTGTATGTAGTTCGACTTTTACTTTGCTGGTATGCAAACCAAAGTATTTGTACAGAAACACAAGTTACACGAGTACTGGCATTTTTCAGCAGAGTCACAAAGCTTATTATGACATAATCAACCCCTACATATTCACTATAACTTCAGCTTATAAAAGAACAGTTACCCCCAAATGATCAATAGCAAGAGGCTGAGCGCACATAACGAACCCTATCTCAGCTTTCTGGTTGATACTATAGAAAACAGGTCCCTACATATCCATTATTTACGTAAAAAAACCTTACCTAATTATATAATAATATAAGCTAAGGTCAATAGCAAAATCGTACAAACAAACCCTATTCCAGCGTTCCAGGGAAACCAGAGAGCACACTAGACGCTCCTTTGTCCTAAAACTACAAAATATCACCAAGCCAAAACCAGAAGACAACAAGCAATCCACTGCAAAACCATGTCTCCATTTACGGAGCCACGTTGATCCCGCTTCGATGGTTTTCTGCTTCAATACACTTTCACGAGC